CCCCCCCCCCCCCCCCCCCCCCCCCATCAAGCATAATCACAATCCCCGAGTCACCGCACAGTTTCATCCATTATATGATCATATCTTTGGTTCTATTTGGTTATTTGGGTGGATATTTTCGGATAGATCGCACGTGCACTTTCGCGCCTTGCGAGGAGCTTCTGGGAATCTTCCGGAGACAAATGATACGTGTCCGAGTAAATTCACTGGATCAATAAAATAGCTGGGAGCTCCTCTGCGTATTAAAAGCTTCATTTTTTCTCTGGCTAGTGGCGCTGAAACGAGAAATGACGCATCTGCTCCAGAACTCTCATCCCCGATCGTCGATCATCGGATCTTTAATACCAACTCGATGTATCATATTAAAGAGTGTCAGAAAAGATCGAGGAGAGAGAAAGGCGAAAGCATTAACCATTTTGGTCCCGAATAAAAAAATATAAATGATGCAAAAAAAAAAACCACCAAAATTTCCTCTTTCCACCTTCTACAATAAAACGCCATTGACTACAAAAATAGGAATTCCACAGTAACTCAGGAATCCCGTCAGGACTGAGAGGGTTAAAACCATTCTGTTGTAACAATTGATTTCATTTTTCATGGGGAAACATGGGATTTCTCGATTCAAATCTCATTTCTCGCATATCCGGAAAAAAGGCACGTACGGTACTACTGTAGAAGCAGCGTCGACCATCATTCCAGAGTTTTCTAAAATGAAAAAATCCTAAGAGGGGACGCCAAGTTCCGTCTGAGGGCGAGCGGAAAGGGAAGAGGGGAGGGGAAGGGAAGGGAGGGGGAAGGAGGGGAAAGGAGGTACCCTTTCATAACTCAACCGCCCGGAAAAACACGCCATGAAAGGTGGAAAGGAGTTCCAAGTAAATTTTAAACAAGAGCTGCAATGATTCGTCCTGAATAAATCTCCAAGGAATCGGGCGGTGCTTCATTCGTGATGTAGTGGTACGGAAACGCATTCCAAGGCCTCTAGACCCTTGTTCTTCGTGACGGAAGCGAATCGTGATGATGCTAACAGACGGGGTCACAGAAGCGAAGGAGGACAGAAAGGTAGGACTCCGCTCCTATTCCTCTCCTTCCAGCACCGAAACTGAAGGATTCACTTGGATGGACGGTCGGGTGAGGTGCGGTCGTTGAGAAAACTCGCTTCTTGCGGGTCTTGTCGTCTTTGATTTTCGTCCAAAGTAGCCCGAGTTTCCCTCTGGATTCACGAACCGACCTTAAATTAGTTAAACGAGGCGTAAAATAGTCTATGCACGTTTATCTCATCTTCTAGCCACGGCATTCCTCCCACCCCATTCCTCTGAGGCTTCGATCACATCTGCTGTGTTACACGCAGTGGCGTGGGGAAAGGAGGGTTTAGGGGATTAGAACCCCCCCCCCTCCCCCCTTTGGGCTTCCTGGTCAGTGACACTGACTGACATATTTCAACCTTTTTTTTGGGAATTCCAATTTTAGCTATCCCTCTTCGAGGAAACTCCGATGTCCATCCACAGACCCAAGACCACAGATGCCAGCCCAGAATTTCTTCGAAAAGGTAAATTCCGGGTAATGGAGCTAAGCGTAGGGTTGGTGTGTCTACCTGGCCTCAACCCCCCTTCCCCCCTTGCCGATTTTCTGCCTACACCACTGGTTATACGAGACGGCTTTCCCGTGAATTAAAAGCTTTTATCGCCAGATCTCCGTCTATGAAATGTTCCCACGACGGCTACACTCATTCGGCGGTGGGAGTAATACAGAAGATTCATTGGCTGATGATGATGATCCCCAGATAATTCTCGGTGCATCAAAACAGTCCATAAGATGCGTTTGAAACGCATTAAGATTCTAATATATGACCAAAGGAGGCAAGGGTGACCCCAACGCCCCGCAGGGGAGAAAGGAGTGGGCAGAAATAAAGCTGCCAGCCAAAGATTTGCATCTAACAAGGAAAAAAAGTGGGATGGGGCAGAATGTACTCGTTGCCCCCTCACCCGGAAAAATCAGGAGGCAATTTCTGCCTCTGCCCTCTCCTCCCCCCTCCTCCCCTCCTCCCCTTCCCGGTTTCCATGCAAATGCCAGTTGATGGGAGTCGTGCATTGCAGATGATAGCCCCCTTCCTGTCTCAGGTCCCCAATCTGAATTGTCGACCGGGGAGGACAATTTTCGTGCGGCTAGAATGCATCACACGGAAGACTAAAAATTGCGAAAGGTTTTCCTAGTGAATACGGTGAAGCTGAGGCGGACAGCTGGCAAGGACCTAAGCACTTACACGGTGTTTAAAAAAAGTCGCCAATTTGTTTATTATTATTATTTATAACGAACGTATATTTAATCGGCCCAATTTTGAAAACATGAAACGTGGATAGAT